ATGGATTGGCCATAACAAACACCATGTTCGAACATAAGGATGCTCATACGTGTACGTGGTACCAGAGCACCCTAGGCAGAAGGTCCATGATCGATTTTGTTATCGTATCATCGGACCTGAGGCCGTATGTTTTGGACACTCGGGTAAAGAGAGGGGCGGAGTTGTCAACTGATCACCATCTGGTGGTGAGTTGGGTCGAGTGGCGGGGGAAGCCTCTGGATAGACCTGGTAAGCCCAAACGTGTAGTTCGGGTGAACTGGGAACGTCTGGAGGAGGAGAAGATGGATGGATGGATGGACAATATGATTTTCTGGATTTTTTTTTCTCATTTTGTCTCTCATAGTTGAGGTCTCCCTAAAAAGGTCAAATGTCACTTGTTTTGCATCAATCTTGATACGGGGTACTTATTATATGTTGTAGTTTGGATTCCTAAAGCTTTTAGTCTACCATCCCATCATTCAAGGGTGGTTTTCACTATAAGTAATTTTTTTCTTTGGACGGACACAATAATTTACATTTTTTTACTGTGTTCAATCTGAATTTACTTTAAAATAAAAACATCTATATTGATTCTGACACTTCTACATCCAACTCACATGTGTAACCTTGTTTTGAGAAAAAAGATTATTAATTTATGGTCATTTGTTCTGGGAATGTCATTTTCGAGCCTGAGACCTGAAAAACAGGCTCGGGGCTTAACAGGTTTTAAGAATTCTAGGTAAGACAGGATGAGTAATAGATCTTCTCTCAGTGCCAGCCTTGGACACTTTTTGATAAAGCTTACAGTTAGGGCTGATTAAATTCAGCCCCTAATTTTGCTGCTATAGGCTTAGACTTTCGGGGGACACCTTACTTCTTCCTTCTCTCCGTCTGTACCTGTGTACTCTCATGTTCTGAATAACCCAGCTTCCCCCAAATTTCTTTGTGGTGTCTATCTACGCCAGGATCCTGAGTCGTGGCTGATCCTGTTGCTGTGGTCCTGAGTCCTGGATCGCGAGCCCTGGATCCTGAGTCGTGGCTGTGCCTGTTGCTGTGGTCCTGGATCCTGAGTCCTGGATCCTGAGCCCTGCATCCTGAGTCCTGGATTTCGAGTCGTGGCTGAACCGGTCTCTGCGGTCCTGCCTGACTCATCATACTTCCCTGAAGGCTCCGACAGTATTGTTGACATCTTTGTGGATTCATCTTCTTATTAAAGACACATGCATTTCTAAACATTTGGACTACCTATGTTGTTAATGTATTATCTTTTATATGCACACACGGCATCTATTGCACATCTGTCCGTCCTGGGAGAGGGATCCCTCCTCTGATGCTCTCCCAGAGGTTTCTCCCATTTTCCCTTTAAACTGTGGGGTTTCTTTGGAAGTTTTTCCTTGTACGATGTGAGGGTCTAAGGAGAGATGGTGTCGTATTGTCATACTGATATTCTGTACAAACTGTGAAGTCCACTGAGGCTTCTTTTAGCCTCAGCCCTTTTCCTGTAAAAAATAACTCAAGTCAGTTTATGCTCAAACGTCCCCCTGGCTTTCATTGGTTCCGCCAGATTGGTGAGGCAACTCAAACGCAGACACATTCATCAACTGACCAAGTGGTATTAAAAAAAGTCCAGCTTTCCACACTCCCAGGCTTCTGAGCTGGTGACCTCTCTCAATTAAGAAGCCGTCCAAAAAAAAAAAAAAGTAAGAGCATTAACCGAACACTCAAGATTTCCATCAGCCTGAGAGTGATGAGACAGTTGCCGCGACTTAATAAACAAAAAAAGAAATGGAAGTAACAGCTGACCCGGCACGGGTGAGTGACAGCTTTAGATGATCATTTGGATCAACTCTGATTCCACAATTGCACCGAGCTCTAACAGCAGAGGAAACCAGGCTGCTTTCTTCCCTGCCTGTCATGAAAGTTCCCAGATTCATGAGTGTAATTTGCTTTTTCTTTCCAACTTGTGGCGTGTTAATTACTGGCAGCGTTCTCCGAGGCTCTCTAAACTGAAATGACAGAGGTGTTCTTTAGTGTGCTGAAGTTGGTTCAGCTGATGTCCATGGTAATTGAATAGCAGGATTTTGCAGATGGAAATCCCGAGAGTAGCTTTTTTTTATGTTACTGTTGTTACCAATTCTTCCATCATTATGACGCTCTTCCTGGTCCAGCATATTTATAGCAGGTTCAAATATGTCAATGTCACTGCATAGTGACTTTTTGGACGCATGGAGGTCCTGATACAAACTCTACCTGACCATTTTTATTTAAAAAAAACTGTACACAAATACAATGTATGTGCATAGTATCCTATTTTATGTATATTTTTTATTTAGAATGTAAATATTATATATGCTGTTAATTAAAAAATGTTGATGTATATTTTCTACTGTTATATACATTTTAACTCGTGCAATGCTTTCTTAACATGCCGCTGTAGCAACACAATTTTCCAATTTGAGATCGATAAGGCATTTCTAATCTAATCAAAGAGACATTCAGAAAATGTATTGGCAATCATTTCTACTTTTATTAAGACATTTTATTAGATTAGACAAAACAAGTTTCATTAGATAAAGATGTTTCATTTACAGATAGCTCAGGAAACAGTAAAGGACCTCAGTGCAGACAAGTGGGACTCCACATTGTCTTCATAAATAGCTTTTACTGTACAGCTTCTTACACATGGTCACGTAGTTTAAAAACCCTGATGTGATTACATCAGTTAAGAGATAGAACCTAAAAGAAAACATGGGATGGGGATGGAAAATTACAGAGTTAATACTAAGTATAGCTTGTTTAAATAAATTGGAGTACTTGGAATTTGCTGTTCCAGATGCGTGGGGGAAATTGTTGCACTTGAGGGAAACAAATGTCTTCCATTGTCCGTGTCAAGTCCAATCAATTACAGATACATACTAAAAAAGGAATAGAAGAAGAAAAGAGAGAAAGATCCGGTGGTGGTCACATTGCAAGGCTATCCGAGTTGCCGTGTTGCTCCGAGTCTGGGCAGGAGGAAGGGCGTCTAGGACATGGTGATCTGCATGGACTCCAGCATCTCCTCCACCGTCTTCATGGAGCATTTGTTCTCCTTGGTCCCGCGACCAGCCATCTGCGTGTCAGAGAAAAAGTAAAAAAAAGAGACAGAAGTGAGGGGAGAAGAGAACATTGGCTCATTAGGTTCCGCCGCCAACAAAAGGCCAAACACATTTGAAAGCAGCATTACTCGTTAACCTCAAGCACCCTCTGCTGCAGTGGTCATTAAATAGCATTGATAAACGGGTAAAGAGAAACGATAGCCAGATTTTCTCCTCAACTGTTCCATAAGAGCCACTTTGTGATCGCTCAGAATCAGGATGCCCACATGATTAGTCCACTTCCATGGCCTCTAGTACAGGAGTACATAACACTGAGCTCTAATTTCTGCACTGTGTCCACGGGGTTTTCACAGGAAGTGCCGCAAATTATAATCCACAAGCACATCCAGGATTACTCATGCATGCACGTACAGGCACACACACTTCTTCCCAATTAAACTTTGCAATGGACGAAGCATCGCCTCGAAAAATAGCGAAGAGGAAGACAACTTCCTTAACCTTGGGCAGGGGACCAGGGGTGGAATAAAGGGTCAGTGTAATTAGCCTCGCTTCACCCACATTTATAGATAGAAATAAATCTTGGCGCGATGATTCTAAAATAAGATGAAAAGTATTTTTAACAGTAAATCTAGATACCAGTAAGAGAAAGAGATTTAAAGTGCCCTATTATGCTCATTTTCATATTTGTATTTTGGGCCTCTACTGTGACATGTCTCCATGCTTTAATGTTCAAAAGCTCTTTATTGTTCTCATACTGCCTGTGCTGGAGCACCTCTTTTCACCCTCAGGCTGAAAACAGAGCCCAGTCTGATCTGATTGGTTAGCTGGCCGGCTCTGTTGTGATTTGTCAACTGCTTAGAGACATCCCGCCCCTGAGCCTATGATTTACAATGTGCAGCGAATAGAAACGAGAGTACTACATAGTGATGTCACTATGTTAAGGAAGTAAACAAAGAAGTCTACCATGGCTTTTCAGACGGCAGCGGAGAGTGGCCTGGATTGCAATGTTTGATATTTATTAAATATTAAACATTAAGTCTTTGGGGCGGCAGTGGTTCAGTCAGGCAGGGGGTCAGGATTGTGCCCTCACTGAGACCATTTGGCTTTCTTCCTCAACCTTTTTGTGGAACAACACATTCAAACTGACACCCCTCAATGCCATGTTCAACATAAAGAAATGCTTTGAATGCTGTGAGGCTTTTTCTCATCCAACATTTGGCCTGGCTTCAAACAGGAGCTAGCTGTAGCCTAAACCTAGCCTATTTCCATGGCTAACGTTTTTTTCCTTCCTCTTTTGCCAAACTCCATCTTAAGACAGTTGGCTAAGGTGTGCAATTGGCTACGAAGTTTCCAAGTGTGACTCATTCTCCTACAAATGTAACAT